ACACCTGTAACCCTACCTACTCAAGAGGCAGAGATCAGGAGGATCAAGGTTCAAAGCCAGCCCAGGCAAATAGTTTGTGAGACCCTATTTCAAAAGCACCTATCATAAAAAACACTGGTGGAGTGGCTCAAGGTGTAGGCCCTGAGTTCAAACCCCAGTGCCACAGAAAAAAGAAAGAAAAAAAAAAAGAGAGAAAATTTCTAAGATGACCTAAATTTAATCACAAGGGATGATGCAAAATGGAAGGGAGGAGAGATGGGGAGATTAATAAAATTAATAAGCTATAGGCAGAAAAGAACAAAACACCATTTTATGTTTCTCAATGTGTTTTTGTTAAAACCTTAACTCATATCTAACCATAACCTTCTAGGCACCATCCCGCCCCTCTCCTGCTTATAAGGTCAACCCATCCAAAAGCAGCAATTACTTCCCCTAACCAAAGCCTTCCTGGCTTCCCTACAATGTTCACATCTAGAGCCAAGGCAGGCACAAGGTAAGAACTTACCCTTTCTTTCCCCACATTTTCATCATAGATGAAATGTTCTTTTTAAAAAATGCTCTTGCTGGCAGAGAGGCTCAAGTGGTAGAGCACCTGCCTGGCAAGAGTGAGGCCCTGAGTTCGAACCCCAGTACCACCAAAAAATTCTCTTAGCTCTGGTCCAGCAGGCATTTTCCAATTGCTATCTAGATGCTGCCAGCATCTGTGATGGCTCAATAAACCCTTTTATTTTAAAGATTCTTCAGTCTCAAGTTTTTGTTTAACATTCCCTCTTTTTATGTTTATTTTTCACTTCCAAGAATAAAAACTGTAAAGCATTTATACACACTATCTTCACAACTTATGCATACTAATATGATAATGTTAAGTTGTATAAGGATCATGGAATTGTGACTTTTTTAAAAATTTGAGGCTGGCAAGTTATGGAAACAGCCAAGATGCCCCAGCACTGACGAATGGATTAAGAAAATGTGGTATCTATACACAATGGAATTCTACGCAGCCATGAAGAAGAACGAAATGTTATCATTCGCTGGTAAATGGATGGAATTGGAGAACATCATTCTGAGTGAGGTTAGCCTGGCTCAAAAAACCAAAAATCGTATGTTCTCCCTCATATGTGGACATTAGATGAAGGGCAAACACAACAAGGGGACTGGACTATGAGCACATGATAAAAGCGAGAGCACACAAGGGAGGGGTAAGGATAGGTAAGACACCTAAAAAACTAGCTAGCATTTGCTGCCCTTAATGCAGAGAAACTAAAGCAGATACCTTAAAGCAACTGAGGCCAATAGGAAAAGGGGAACAGGTACTAGAGAAAAGGTTAGATCAAAAAGAATTAACTAGAAGGTAACACCCACGCACAGGAATCAATGTGAGTCAATGCCTGTATAGCTATCCTTATCTCAACCAGCAAAAACCCTTGTTCCTTCCTATTATTGCTTATACTCTCTCTACAACAAAATTAGAAATAAGGGCAAAATAGTTTCTGCTGGGGTATTGGGGGGGGAGAGGAAGGGGTGGAGTGGGTGGTAAGGGGGGGGTGGGGCAGGGGGGAGAAATGAACCAAGCCTTGTATGCACATATGAATAATAAAAGAAAAATGAAAAAAAAAAAAAAATTGAGGCTGGTGGTGGCATAGCTCAAGTGGTTGAGTGCCTGCCTAATAAGCACGAGGCCCTGAGTTCAATCCCCAATACTGTAAAAAAAAAAAATTTTTTTAAATAATTTTTTTCAGTATTTTCAATAAAAGATACTACTTTTCCAATAATAAAGAAAATATATATGGAAAATTAAAATTAAGATGGTCCAAATGCAGCATAGGAAGGTTTAAATTTAATACATTTCATTAACTCACCTAATCTAAAGGAAACTATTTATTTGTGAAAAGCACTGCCTCCTCTGAGCTTTGACTTGGGGTGGTTTTGATCTACACTTATTTCAAAAATAGAAAAACTTTATAGTGTTTATGGAAAGCAGCAGAATCATAATACATACAGCTAAATCTAAAAGGAGTCGGGAAGAAACAACCAAACCCACTGTATAAGTAACCGAGCCTTCATCACATGAACTCAAGTGAACAGCTGCAAAACAGTGAGGCTTTCAGAAGTTACACATGAAACAACTGATATTCCCTGGAGAGTTCCTCAAAGTGCTTCTGAAGCATGTAATTTAAATGCCTACATTCATTACAAATATCTTTGACAGTGAAGGGCTGAATTCACCTTTATAACCTGAGTTAAATTTGAAGGTTTGTAACTGAGGATAAAGATGATAGTATACTAGATCAGCTCCTAGAGAATTTAGAACAGGTTTTAAGTAGGAGTCTGATTTACTTTAAGGGAAGTCAGGTATGGTGATACACACCTGTAATTCCAGCTACTTGGAAGGATCAAAGTTCATAGCCTAGGCAAAGTTGGCAAGACCACATTCTCAACAAGCCAGGTGTGGTGGCATGAGCCTGTCTGTGGAGGATCTCAATCAAGGCCACCCTGGGCAAAAAACACAAGACATTATCGGGAAAAATAACTAAAGCAAAAAAAAAAAAAAAAAAAAGTAAATAAAAATTTAAAAGTGGGCCGGGGGGTAGGGGCTGCGCTATGGATGTGGCTCAGTTGATAAAGCACCTGCTTAGCATTCACTCAGTCCTGTGTTCAATCTCCAGCACCACCAAAAAAAAAGAAAAGAAGAAAGCCAGGTACAGTCGCTCAAGCCTAGAATCCTAGCTACTCAGGAGGAGGAGGTGGAAGATTCAAGGCCAGCCTGAACAAAAAGTTTGAGAAACTCCATCTCAAGCAATGAAAAGTAACATTACAGTATAACCCATGAAAGCCTGCAGTTACAGGACAGTGCCTCAAGAGTCATTGCTGGTGGTAAACACAGCAGTCCTTCCCCTCTTCCTCCTACCCTGCAGTGCTCATACAGTGTAGCTCCTCCTGGAGGGAAGCTGGTTGTATAGCCAACCCTGGTCCCCTTGGACCAATCACCCCACTCTAATTCCCTGGCCACAATCACTGTTTAAATGGTTCCATCATGGCAAATGGCAGGACTCTTACGTGCCTCAATTGCCACTGGCAGTCATCCTAGGGCCAAAAGGAGAACTGGCCCTAGAAACGATAAAGAAATTAGGCCCTCCGTATGGCATCTCTGAGTCACTTCCATCGAGGAACTCTAAATAAAGCCTGTAGTATCTCTAGATTCTTAATTACATGAGCTGGATTATGCTGAATTTGGGGTTCTGTAAAATAAATTCATGTAAGTATAACCTCAAATAGTCTATCTCCTCGGGGGAAGAAAAAGAAAGAATTCCCCAGCTTATATCTTCTTGGCACAGCATTAATGTTGAAGAGATCCAGAATACGGTATGATGACACAGAAATTATAGCATCCGACAACACTTTTTTTCCTGAATTTCAGTATCTACTTTAAAAGAAGAGCCTCTTAAAACAACTAAATTGTACAGATCCCCTCTAGGGACAAGAGATTGACTGTCACCACCAGGAGAAAAGTAATCATGCTGAGACTACAGGCATGTATCACCTGGCTAAGAGAAGTATTTGTAACAATACACACTAAGACACACTCATACACCTTTAAAATCCAGAGAGCATAGAGCAAAGGGAAATTAATTTCTTAATTAATTTTACTGGATCCTTAAATAATGGACCCAGTAAAAACAAAATAAATCAAGATCGTACAGGGCAAATATTAACTTAAACCTGCAGATATAAGAAATCTAACAATTAGCAAACCAAACTATTACCTTAATAATTCAAGCACATTTTCCCTGAGTGATCATTTTAACAGGAAATTTAGTTTGGAAAAATTTCAATACTATTTTTAAAGTAACAAAATTTAAAAAGATTATACTCAGTGATTCCAGCATATTGAACTTGTTCATATAAACAAATTTTTAATGGATACAAAACAAAACTTTACCATTTTATAAATTTTGTTATGAAATTCATTTTCATTTCTTCAGGCTGGTGACTCACGCCTGTAATCCTAGCTACTCAGGAAGCAGAGATTGGGAAGATTACTGTTAAAAGCCAGCTCAGGCAAATAGTTTGTGAGACCCTATCTTGACAAAAAAAAAAAATCACAAAAAAAGAGCTGGTGAAGTGGCTCAAGATGTAGGCTCTGAGTTCTAGCATCACTGCCTCAAAAAAAAAAAAAAAAAAAAATCATTTTCCTGAGAATATTTCAACTGTTTCGGGAACTATTTTCACTTTATATACAAATTAAACTCCCCCAAAGAGCTTCTTTTCAAGGAAGATAAACAGTTTTCTCTCTTAGCCTACATTTACCTCTTAATGTTTCTTTTCCAGTGATTAATTTACCCTTTCTCTTAGAATTAAAGATAATAAATTCAGTTTCATATGCGAAATTGTTTTCTTATAAGATTTCCTTTAAAGCTGAATGTAGTAGGACACATTTATCATCCCAGCACTCCTGAAGCAGAAGCAGAAAGGCCATGAGTTCAAGGCCAGTAAGAACATGTCTCAAAAAAAAAAAAGATTTCCTTTAAGAAAGCCACTTACACTCAACAATCATTTCCTCAGTTGATCTTTATTTTCATTCACTGAAATAACTGTGGGTTCTTCTTTTTTATTGGTGGTACTGGAATTTGAACTCAGGGCCTCACATATGCTTGGCAGGTGCTCTTACTGCTTGAGCCACTCCACCAGCCCCTGAAACAATCATTTAAAAAAAATTCTGGAGTTGGGGATGTTGCACAGTGGTATATCACTTGTCTACCATCTTTAAGGCCTGGGTTTGATCCCTAGCACTGGCCCTCTACTTCACTTATTTGTTTTCTCACACTTAATCTTATATCCACTGTCAGCAAAGGTATATCACACAAAAGTGCCAAAATTAGACACTAAAAAGAGAAACCTGATATTTTTTTCTCATTTGCCTTTACAGTTTTGCTTTGTTTTGGTTTTCCTTTACGTTTCAAAACTATTCTGCTGCTTGAATTAAAATGTATATTGCATACCTGATCCATATCTAATGTTGTTTCTATCATTTCCTGAAACTTAGAGAAATCAGAACGAAGATCAACAAGAGGAACAACAAAAACTGCGAGCAACAATGCCTGGTGTCTTCCTAAAACAAAGCAAAACAAATTAATTAATTAATTTAAAAGATCTCATTTTCAAAAGTACAAGATTATAGATCATAAAAGTTTAAGATAATGAACATCATTTGACCCAGAAAGCAAAACTGTATAGTAGGTCCCCAAAGTTCCTATTTTACTTAGATGCTTTATTCTAAATTAGTACTAAACGTATTTTGTAGGCAGGGAGTGATGTGATCTAGCACTCAAGGTTTCCCACTAACAAAACACTACCTCCCCTGCATGTCTGTCATCTCCTTCGTAGAAAGTACTAGAGATGCAGAAACACACGACATTAATTAAAACTAAATGAATGTCATTTGTTGTAGATCTAATAACCCAGAGTTAAAACCATTAAAATAAGACCTCTAGCTTGTATTTCTAATTTCCATCAATAACACAGTGTTCCAATTAACAAAGGTTAAATAAAGTCAAGTACTTAATTTTGGAACTTGCTTAATGCTATTTAAGAGTACAGACTGGAAAATAAGACGAGGAGACATAGGGAATCAACAAAGTAGACATGTGAACAGTAGGAGTAAAGGCCTGGATGCCAGTCGCAGCTTTGCTGCCCACTGCCTTTGTCGTCTGGAACGTGTTGCTCTGAGCCTTGTGTGTCTGTACAATGGAATAACTACAGATGCCCAGATGCATATGAGAGAACTACATCTGACACTTAGCACACTGCTTCTCACCTAACAGAAGCTTAACTGTGAGAACTTACTATGCAGTACTACTACTATAACAAGACTTTTTCTTCTAATCTCCAATAAAGTCTTACAGGTGTTCTATAAATATTTCTAGCACACTGCATTTTACTCCAAAGTAATAGCTCTCAAATTTCCAGAACTTTTAGTAGCTCTTGATTGAGAATGATGGAAAGCTACCATGAAGTCAGCACAACTGTTTTTAAAAATCTTGTTTTATAGCGAGAGCACACAAGGGAGGGGTGAGGATAGGTAAGACACCTAAAAAACTAGCTAGCATTTGCTGCCCTTAACGCAGAGAAACTAAAGCAGATACCTTAAAGCAACTGAGGCCAATAGGAAAAGGGGAACAGGTACTAGAGAAAAGGTTAGATCAAAAAGAATTAACCTAGAAGGTAACACCCACGCACAGGAAATCAATGTGAGTCAATGCCCTGTATAGCTATCCTTATCTCAACCAGCAAAAACCCTTGTTCCTTCCTATTATTGCTTATACTCTCTCTACAACAAAATTAGAAATAAGGGCAAAATAGTTTCTGCTGGGTATTGAGGGTAGGGAGAGGGAGGGGGCGGAGTGGGTGGTAAGGGAGGGGGTGGGGGGCAGGAGGGAGAAATGAACCAAGCCTTGTATGCACATATGAATAATAAAAGAAAAATGAAAAAGAAAAAAAAATCTTGTTTTATTATTAATCACAACAGCATCTATGTGTGAAACATTTAGACAGCCCATAAACAACACTTAGCCTACATAATGTCTGTCGTGCTATAATGCCTGTTCTTTATTCCCAGTTAGCTTATGCACTATTGGTAAACAGGATGAACATCAGCAACCATAGCAGTAGTGGTGTTTCATTTATGATTTTTTTTTCCCGATCCATTAATGTTTTCAAATGAAACACGAAATGCAGTGAAAACCTCAGCTGACTTAATAGCCACTGTACTTTTCACTGTTAAAGATAAATAGATGAGTAGGAGCTAGTGGTTCATGCCTGTAATCCTAGCTACTCAGGAGACAGAGATCAGAAGGATCACCATTCGAAGCCAGCCTGAGGCAAAAATACCTTATCTTAAAAACACTCATCACGAAAAAGGGCTGGTACAGTGGCAGCTGTATGGCAACTGCCTAGTACATGTGAGGAAGAGTTCAAATCCCAGTACTGACCCCCCTCCCAAAGATGAAGAATACAAAAACATTTACCATTGTCAAAAAAAAAAAAAAAAAGGACTGACTTTTATCCCTCAGTATAGATTTTAATTTTGATTAAACTCACCAGTATAGAAGCAAAGGCCTTCAAGAACCTCTATCTTAAGGAGGAAACAAGAATCTCAGATTCTAAGATTGGAGAGTTGATGCTGGTACCAGGTACAAACTCAATGAAGGTTGTACCTTTACTAAAGTTTGTTTTGATGGTACTGGGGTTTGAACTCAGGGCCTCACACTTGCTAGGCAGGTGCTCTACCACTTAAGCCATTCCACCAGCTGCCTAGCAAGCGTGAGGCCTTGAGTTCAAACCCCAGTATTGCCAAAAATAGAAAATAATAGCACTATTCTAGCTGGGCGCTAGTGGCCCATGTCTGTAATCCTAGCTACTTGGGAAGCTGAGACCAGGAAGATCTCAGTTCGAGGCCAGCCCAGGCAAATAGTTCATAAGACTCCATCTCCAAAATAACCACAGCAAAATGGACTAGAGGTGTGACTCATGCAGTAGAGTACCTGCTTTGTAACACAAAGCCCTGAGTTCAAGCCCTAGTCCCAGAAAAAACAAAAACAAAACACCACTATTCTGAGGATAGGCTTTATTGGAAGCCAAAAGGTTAAGAACATCAGCTAGGCCTCACCTCCAACCAACTTCTCCCTAATTCCCTACTGCTATGTTTGACTATTCCAGCTTTTCTTCTGTCTTTCAGCAAGTCCAGTCCAGGCTGGTCTTGTATACTTGCACTGGCTGATTCCACTAGCCTCCCTAGCCCCTCCTCAAGAGTTGGGGGCATGGCTCAAGTGGTAAAGCTCCTTAGGGCAGCCTTCCTTGACCACCAGGTCTATTGTCACTCCTGTGTTTTCTTCATTACACTTCTCACTATAAATCTGAACTTGCTTATTTATTTCTTTATTGTCTATCTTCTACCCTTCCACTATTATAGAACCTCTACAAAATAGGGACCTTATCTGTCATATCTACCATTCTACCTTCTAGAACAACGTATGGCATAAAAGAGGCAACTGAGAGCTACTTACTGAATGAATGACTTCATGAAAGAAGAGAGCGAGAGACTAATGAAGCAATCAATCACTGGTCATTAGCTTTCATATATACAATATTCGTCCAGTAAAGATTTCAAAGATCAGACAGGGAAGTAATTGTTAGCTTTGTAAGTAAATCAAAACATAACTTTCCAATAATCAAGCCATTACATAACTTTTGTTAAAACCTCCATATTCAGCCAGGTGTGGTGGCTCATGCCTATAACCCTAGCCATTCGGGAGGCAAAGATGAGGACGATCACGGTTTGAGTCCAGCTTGGGCAAAAAAGTTAACAAGACCCTATCTCAACAAGGAAAAGGCTGGGCAGGTGAAAGGCATGTACAGGAGGTTCATGATTCAGGCCAGCTCAGGCATCAAAGTAAGGTCCTATCTCAAAAATAACCAAAGCAAGCAGGAGGTTCTAAGTTCAATCCCAACTGCCATAAAAAAAAAAAAACAAAAAAAAAAACTTTTAAGGTGGAAGTCAAAGAAAAGAACAAAGCCAGGCAAAAAGATGTGAGTCTAAACAGCACATACGATGGCTTGGAGATGAAGTGTGTGATATACATATCATTTAGGGGATGTTGTTCAAGTTCACCTGTACTGATGTGCAGAATAGTGCTTTTTCAAATAGTGGGCCTTCCTCTACCATAGGTCATAAAATTTAGTAAGCCTTTACTAGTGTTTTTCAGTTAAATACAAAATGTTGAAGTACATAACAGCATTTTAATTATTTCAGTTTTATATATACTGTTTCAGGTTTAAACAACTTACATATGCTTACTTCAGCTTTTATACGTAGTGTGTATATATGTGTGCTTACACCCAAGGGTATGCACTGTCATGATGAAACACGTTTCTTAATGTGGTTCTAAGAAAAGTCTCAAACACTAGCAATGAGTACTAGGAAAGAAAGGAGAAAAAAAGTAGGCAGGTGATTTATTCGGGCTCTTTTAAACTAGTTTATAGACTTTAATACAAAAGAAGTGAGAACCCTCCGTAGCGTTTGAACAGATTAGTGATGCATTTACATTTATATATAAGGAACAGCTGCTAGAACAAAGGGAATGGACTGAAAGCAAAGACGGGGCAGTAAGAGCATTAGGGCTGACAACAGGATCAGGTAAGAAATGACTCTAGCCTGGACTTGGGTGCTGGCACTGGAGAAAGGTGTCAGAGGCAAAAATATTTACAATGTAAAATCAGTAGTACTTGGTGACTGAGTGCATACAATAAGGGAAGAAGTCAAGACTGGCCCCCAAGGCTAAGGCAACCGGGCCTAGATTATGAGCTCATTTACTGAGGTACAGAACATTAAAAAAAGTTTAGAGACTTGAATTCAAATTGGACATTAAAACATGTGACTGTATGGGAAATACTTGGCCAGAATTCCCATGGAGTGGCGTGCATATGGACTTATCAGTTTTAGTCACACGTGAGTTCTCTAGGTCAGCAGAGTTATCAGCCCATTGCTTTCCTATGACTTATAACCTGCCTGCCCTAAGGCATCTGTGCATGCAATCCCTGCTGGAACCATCAGCAGCAGCCATCAACTATGCCTGGGACCTGGACCTTCCCACCTCAAAGAAGCCTTTCCTAACTGTTATCTGGCAAAGTTGAGACTGTAAAGCAAACTGGCTATAATTGCACTTAAATTACTGGTAAATGTCTTTCTCTCTCAAAGCATGCACAACATTTTATTTAAAATAACTCAAGGGCTGGCGGAGTGGCTCAGGCAGTAGCAAGCCCAGGGTCCTGTGTTTGGCAGTACCCCAGTACTACCAAAACAGTAACAACAACAACAACAAAAAAAACCTCATAAATAATTGGAAACTGCTGCAAAGTAATTAAGGAAAAGACACTAAGACTTTCCAATCAAGGTCAAGAAGCAAGTAATACAAGAATCAACAGGACAGTTCTGGATCCCTCCTTATATGTATCCTCCTGACATTACCCTCAGATACAAAGTCTGATATTAGTCACAAGCTGACTAAGCAGATTTCCAAATAGTCTATGCAGACTGAGAAAAATCAATCTAAAGTCTTAATTATAAAACAATAATGATCTTCATAATCATTAAAAATTTTGGAAAATGGAATTGAAGGACATGAGTTTCAATTAACAAAGATTTAAATAATGTACTCGATGCCCACATTCCCTTGGCTAATTTCACACAAATTCCTTGTACTATTAATTCCAATTTAGCAGTTGTATTAAGTATAATTAAATTTTGTCTGCCTCTATAAAATGGATTTGAAAACCATGTTAAGTAGAAAAAAGGCTGGTAAAATATCATTAATGAAAGCTTATGGTACAACTGCACTTAAATTACTGGTAAATAATTACACCACTATTGTACTGGCTCTAACAAATTACCAAATTACCAAAGGAGTCAGCAGTAAAAGTACAGGTGAGTTATGGTAACAGTAACAATTTAATCACTCTGCTCAACTACTTTCAACATAAGGCTCTCTGCTCTTCTTCCAGTGCTTTACTCAGCTGACTGGCCTCTTTATTCTTCCTCATTTTTCACTCATTGTCAGTCAACACTAAGGTTATTTTTCCATCCTTTCTCACCTAGCATGTCATACAGTAATTTGCTCATTTTATATAATCTAAGTATCTTTTCCCTCCTCCCATTACTTAAGAGCATCACCTTTACTATCTTCAACCTTTTTTTTTCTTTTATTTATATGTGCATACAATGTTTGGGTCATTTCTCCCCCTTCCCCCTGCCCCCTACTATCTTCAATCTTCCTCTTAAATGATAAACGCTTTCACAGCACTACAACTATACTCTTGAGTCGTTATCCTTCCATTCAAGTGACCAGTCACCCAGGTCCGACTAAACATTCCCAATAAAATGTCCTGGCCACAAGACCCTGTGTTCAATCTCCAGCACCAGTGCAACTCTCTTTCTGTACTGTTGCTGCCCCCTGCTGTCTGTGAACCTACTTTACGTTCAGTTTTTCTAAAACAACATTAAGCTTAGAGTTGATCAAAAACCAGAAACACCACAGGATGACAGAACATACTCAATTTCTAGCAAAATACTAATATACTTTTTTGCCAGGTGTGATGATGACTGATGTGATCCCAGAACGTGGGAGGCTGAGGCAGGAGGATCAAGGGTTCCAGGCCAGCCTGAACTATATACAAAGCATGACCCTGTTTCAAAAATTAAATAAATAAAAACTTAAATCATGGTTTTGTTCTTAAAGACAATACATTTGCTTTATTTTCTATATAAATTAGTCCCACATTCTGGTTTTCCCCCATGAAATTAATAAGCTAAGGAGAGCTGCTGAGTTCTTCAAAGTGCCATTTAAAAAAAAAAAATGCTGTCAAACCCCAGCACCTCCAAAACAAACAGCCAACAACACCACCAACAAAAAAACCACTCAGAGAAATGGATTATGTTCCCAATGATGAAGGATCTCAAATATCCTGTGTAGCTGGGCACCAGTGTCTCACGCCTCTAATCCTAGATACTCAGGAGGCAGAGATCAAAAGGATCACATTTGGAAGCCAGCCAAGGCAAATAGTTCTTGAGACACTATCTCGAAAAAACCCAACATAAAACAGGACTGATGGAGTGGCTCAGGAGCACCTGCCTAGCAAGTATGAGGCCCTGAGTTCAAACTCCAGTACCACCAAAAAGGAGAAAAGAGATTGATTTGTACCTGGCCTCAGTGATCCCCCAACCCCCACCCCAGGTTCTCATATACAGGATAGCTACCAAGTAAGAATATGTTCACCTGACCAGCAAAAATAGAACAGTCCAGGTAAGACTCCACTGTGTGCTTCCTGTCCCCTGGGTGTTCTGCCCCCATACCTTTATCTCAGAGAGAAAGTGAACCCCACCATGGACTTCACAAAAGGAAAGACAACTAGGCTGAGACAGCCCTGGGCTAAGATGTGCATCCTCACTTTAATGCTGCTCCTGATTTGTGACTTTTTCCTGTAACAAACTGTATTTGTAAGCACTGTCATTTTGAGTCCATGGGTCTTCTTTAGTAACCAAATCCTGTTTAACTCCCACTGTTAGTACAATTAACCTGTTAATAATAAACCTAGTAATTATAACATTCACTTCTAAAAAACAATACCTATAGGTTCAATCCCAGCACTGCAAAATAAATAAGTGAAAATTCTAACTTGTCTCTTGACTGCCAGTTTCTGCCATGAACCTTAGCGCAATGCAAACCTATTTGAAAAACCAATGTGTCAAAGAGGGAGTCACTAGCATCAACCTTGAGTATACTTACCCAACATACTATAAGAATAAAGGAAAACAAAAATCAAAATTATTTTGTTACCTTCGTATTTTTCCAGAGCCTGTATAACATTAGGGAGTTGATTTATGCCCTGGTAGAGTCGGTAACAATCTTGCAAGTTTGCTGCTTGTCTTTGAAATTTCTTGGCAAGTCGGTTAAGATCTGGGAATCGCCGAAGTAAATCTTCTTGTAAACTCTGCCTCAACTCTGCATCTTCTACAAAAGCTTCCACCAAATTTAATCTGAAATAAATTACATTACAACAAATGTCAAATATTTTAATATAAAATTAAATCTGCCATCTAAAGCAGAGGATATAGCTGAGTAGTAGAGTCCTTGCACTAGGTTAGATCCCAACAACTAGCCAAAAAAAAAAAGAGAAAAGAAAAATCTTTCAACTAACCTTATAAAGTCTCAAAAATAACAAACTAAAAAATTTCACATAAATACTGGGTGCCAGTTGCTCATACCTGTAATTCTAGCTACTCAAGACACAGAGATTAGGAGGCTCACAATTCAAAGCTAGTCTGGGCAAATATTTCGAGAGACCCTAAACTGAAAATACCCAACACATACACTGTTTATCTAACAATTCTCCCCTATCCTCACTGGCTTTTCCTCCTTCCTCGTATTTGTACAAGTAATAAACACACTTGTACAGACAAGGGGGAAAAAAAACACAAAAAGGAGTGGCTCACGTGATAGAGCGCCTACTTAGCAAGTGTGAGGGTGAGTTCAAACAACTCCAGCACCACCAAAAAAAAAAAAAATGTATATAAAAAATCTGAACCTAGCCAGCGCCCAGACCACTTGGGAAAACGCAGACCACAAGGTGAGCTAAGCGGCACGCAGTACGCCCACAGACAACCCTGGGTGAGATCAGCATAGCCCTCTGGACAGACTGACCCCAACCCAGGGGAAAAAAAAAACTGAATAATAAGCAATAACAACAAAAAAGACACATAGCAAAGAGGGCGGGGCACCCTGAGTGCCAGAGAGGGGGAAGGGCAATTCCTCACAGAACTGTAAATAAACACAAAGAAGGCAGGAGCAGAGGAACTCGCCCAGCAACCAGAAGCAGGAAAGCTTGTAAAAGTGGCGGTGGGAGGAAAACTCCACAGGAGAGGGGAGAAGGCCCACTTCCCACATGACCTGTAAATAAACAAGCCGGCTTTGGCCTGAGAAAGCGGGTGCAGTGTCACCTCCCCCAGTGTGCTTGGAAAGGGAAAACCTTATACCTTTGAGCCCAGGAGAACTCTGAGTAAACAAAGCCTGCAGGGCCAGGTGAGTGCTAAGCTCACCCCTGAGATCTGCATAAATAACACCTCCAGCAACATCAGGCTGACAGCTGCGGGCAGATGAGCCACAGCCTCAGATAGACATTCACAGAACTGTCTCCATACTCTTTTTTTTTTCTCTCTTCCTTTGAGACAACAACCGAACTACACCTGCATGCTGAAAACCTTACTGAAACTGTATTGCATTCGAACTTGGGACACTTTGTGGTGTTTTTTTGTTTTGTTTTGATTTTTGGTTTTTTTCCCCTTTCATGAGATAATGACAGAACTAATTCTGAGACACCATCTCCAGGATTGGAGGCTGAGGGACTAACACCAAACATTATTAAGAAATGGAAACTTTATGTGCTTTGAACTTGGAAATTTTTTTTTTTCTTCAATCCTCTCGCTGTTCTCTCTATGCTGGTTAGCTTTACTGATTGATTATATACTAATGTCTCCCCTGCTTATACCTTTGAACTTTTGTTTGTTTTTGTTTTTTTACTTGTTTATTTGTTTTTCCCTCTTTAACTTCATTGCTTTCTCTCCTCTCACCTCATTCTAATATACCAGTTGTTACTATTACAAGCTACAAATACTTAACTTGCACACAGTACAGGGACAGTAACAACACCAAGGGGAACGACAAGAAAACAAAAAAAACAGGGAAACCAGTTTCCCCACAGCAAAAAATCAGTATAGGAACCAGAGGGAAATGAAGAAAACAGATACTCAGATCCAGACTCCAACAAAATGAAGACAAACTATGCCAAAGAACCCAATGAAGCCCACAAGAATAATTTAAAAGAAGAAATACTACAGGTAATCAATGAGAATTTTATAGAGATGATACTGGATATGGCCAACCAAAATGTACAGGAGACACTCAAGAAGTTCCAAGACAACAAAAATAGAGAATTTGAAAAAGAGGGGTTGGGGATTTAGCTCAGTGGAAGAGCACTTGCCTGGCAAGTGCAAGGCCCTGAGTTCGGTCCCCAGCACCAAAAAAAAAAAAAAAAAGAAAAAGAAAAAGAAAAAGCAGAAGAAGAAATAAAAGGAACCACAGAAGCACTGTATAAATACCAAAGTGAAACAAAAACACGATTAATAAAGAGATAAATGAACTCAGGACAAAAACAGACAACATAAAAGAGGAAAGGACTCAGGATACAGAAAATCGCAGAAAAAAGAACGAAACAGAATTACAAAACAAAATGGAAGGCCAATCCAGCAGAATAGAACAAACAGAAGACAGAATCTCAGAACTCGAAGATGAAATGGTAATTAAAGGAAAAACCGAACTATTAATTAAACAACTCAAGACCTGTGAAAAGAAAATGCAAGAACTCACCGACTCCATCAAAAGACCAAACTTGAGAATCATGGGCATCGAAGAAGGAGAAGAGGTGCAAGAAAAGGGAATGCATAATATATTAAAGAAAATAATAACAGAAAATTTCCCAAATCTAGAGAAATCTATTCCCATACAGATGCAAGAGGCCTCCAGAATACCAAACAGACCAGACCAAAATAGATCTACCCCACGCATAGTATCATTAAAACAACAAATGCAAGACCGAGAAAGATACTTGAAGGCTGTAAGAGACAAAAACAAGTAATATACAAAGGTAACCCATCAAAATCACAGCAGACTTCTCACACAAAACATAAAAAGCAAGAAGAGTTGGGGTGAGATCTTTCCGGGCACTGAATGAAAATAACTTCACCCCTAGGATACTTTACCCAGCAAAACTATTACTCAAAATAGATGGAGCAATTAAAAGTCTTCCATAATAAGCAGAAACTAAAAACAATATATGACCACAAAGCCACCACTACAAAAGATCTTCAAGGATTCTCACACAGAAAAATGAAACCCAACATAACCATGAAAGGGCAGGCAGCACCAAAACTACAGGAAAAGAAAAGCAAAAAAGTAGAGAGTAACATCAATTTAGGTACACACAATCAAACCTTCAAAAAACTAAGACAACTAAATGACAGGAATCACCACATACCTATCAGTACTAACGCTTAATGTTAATGGACTTAATTCCCCCATTTGACGAAATGGATTAAAAAGGAAGATTCAACAACTTGTTGCTTAGAGGAGATCCATCTCACTGACAGAAATAAGCACAGGCTTAGGATGAAAGGCTGGAAGAAGATTTAACAAGCCAATGGCCTCCGAAAACAAGTAGGAGCAGCAATACTTATCTCTGACAAAGTAGACTTCAAACCTACATTGATCAAACGAGATAAAGAAGGACATTCCATACTAATAAAAGGGGAAATAGACCAAAAGGAAATAATAATTATTAACCTATATGCACCCAATGTCAACGCACCCAATTTCATCAAACATACCCTGAAGGACCTAAAAGCATCTGTTAACTTCAACACAGTGGTCATGGGAGACTTTAACACCCCATTATCATCAATAGATAGGTCATCCAAGCAAAAAAATCAATAAAGAAATCCTAGATCAAAAATATACATAGATCAAATGGACCTAGTTGATGTCTACAGAACATTTCATCCAACTTCTACACAATATACATCTTTCTCAGCCCCAGGAACCTTCTCCAAAATAGATCATATCCTAGGGCACAAAGCAAGCCTCAGCAAATAATAAGAAAATAGAAATTATCATGCATTCTATCCGATCAAAATGCAGTAAAACTAGAACTCAACAACAAAAGTAAAGACAAAAAACAAGCAAACAGCTGGAAACTGAGTAACTCATTGCTTAATGAACAATGGCTCATTCATGAAATAAAAGAGGAAATTTAAAAAGTTCCTGGAAGTCAATGAAAATGAAAACACAACCTACCAGAACCTATGGGACACAGCAAAGGCGGTCCGGAGAGGAAAGTTTATAGCCATAAATGCATATATTAAAAAGACTGAAAGATCCCAAATCAATGATCCAATGATACATCTGAAACTCCTAGGAAAACAAAAACAAGAAAGTCCCAAAATAAAAGAAGGAGAGAAAATAATAAAAATAACGAGAGCTGAAATCAATGAAATAGAAACCAAAAAACCATACAAAAATTAATGAAACAAAAAGTTGGTTCTTTGAAAAAATAAACAAGATCGACAGACCCCTGGCAAACCTGGACTAAAATGAGGAGAAAAAACCCAAAATTAGTAGAATCAGGAATGCAAAGGAGATAACAAAAACACCATGGAAGTCCAGGAAATCATCAGAGACTACTTTCAAGAACCTATATTCAAATAAATTCGAAAATCTTAAAAAATGGACAGATTTCTAGATACAGATGAGTCCAAAACTGAACCAAGAGATATTAATCACTAATAGATCTATAACACAAAATGAAATTGAAGCAGCAATCAAGAGTCTCCCCCAAAAGAAAAGTCCAGGACCTGATGGATTCTCTGCTGAATTCTTATCAGACCTTTAAAGAAGAAACTGATACCAACTCCCTTAAACTGTTCCAGAAATAGAAAGGGAAGGAAAACTGCTAACACATTTTATGAAGCCAGTATTACACTTATCCCAAAACCAGGCAAAGACACTCCAAAAAGGAGAACTATAGGCCAATCTCCTTAATGAACAACTGACGCAAAAAATCCACAATAAAATAATGCAACCGAATTCAACAACACATCAAAAAGATCATTCACAACGACCAAGTAGGCTTCATCCAGGATGCAGGGGTTCAACATACGAAAAAACAAACGTATAAACCACATTAACAGAAGCAAAGACAAAAACCACTTGATCATCTCAATAGATGCAGAAAAAAGCCTTTGATAAGATCCAACACCATTCATGATTAAAGCTCTAAGAAAACTAGAATAGAAGGAAAGTACCTCAACATTTAAAAGCTATATATGACAAACCTACAGCCAGCATTATACTTAACGGAGAAAAACTGAAACCATTCCCTCTAAAATCAGGAACTAGACAAGGATGCCCACTATCTCCACTCCTATTC